TAGCATGACATCACGACTAAATAGTGGTGATAGATGAGTGGTGCTGTTAATAGTGTAAGTTGGAGGGTGTTGGAGGGGTGTTGGAGGGTGTTGAGGTGTTGGAGGGTGTTGGAGGTGTTGGAGGGTGTTGGAGGGGTGTTGGAGGGTGTTGAGGGTGTTGGAGGGTAAGGAGGGAGCTGGGCGGTACTGTAGTGGGACAACCTGACCAAAAGTGGTGATAGATGGAGTGGTGCTGTTAGAGTGTGTTGGAGGGTGTTGGAGGGGTGTTGGAGGGTGTTGGAGGGGTGTTGGAGGGTGTTGGAGGGTGTTGGAGGGTGTTGGAGGGCAGCTTGGGGCGTGTACTGTAGTGAACGACATACCTGACCCAAATAGTGGTGATAGATGGAGGTGCTGTTAACAGTGTGTTGGAGGGGTGTTGGAGGGTGTTGGAGGTGTTGGAGGGTGTTGGAGGGGTGTTGGAGGGTGTTGGAGGGGTGTTGGAGGGTGTTGGAGGGGTGTTGGAGGGTGTTGGAGGGTGTTGAGGGTGTTGGAGGGGTGTTGGAGGTGTTGGAGGTGTTGGAGGGGTGTTGGAGGGTGTTGGAGGTGTTGGAGGGCAGCTGTGGGGCGGTACTGTAGTGGCTGACATACCTGACCAAATAGTGGTGATAGATGGAGTGGTGCTGTTAATAGTGTGTTGGAGGTGTTGGAGGGGTGTTGGAGGTGTTGAGGTGTTGGAGGGGTGTTGGAGGGGTTGGAGGTGTTGAGGGTGTTGGAGGGTGTTGGAGGGTGTTGGAGGGGTGTTGAGGGTGTTGGAGGGTGTTGGAGGGTGTTGGAGGGGTGTTGGAGGGTGTTGGAGGGGTGTTGGAGGGTGTTGGAGGGTGTTGGAGGGGTGTTGGAGGGGAGTGGAGGCAGCTGTGGGCGGTACTGTAGTGGATGACATACCTGACCAAATAGTGGTGATAGATGGAGTGGTGCTGTTAATATGTGTTGGAGGGGTGTTGGAGGAAGGCTGAGGTGTTGGAGGGTGTTGGAGGGTGTTGGAGGGGTGTTGGAGGGTGTTGGAGGGGTGTTGAGGGTGTTGGAGGGGTGTTGGAGGGGCAGCTGTGGGGCGTGTACTGTAGTGGCGACATACCTGACCAAATAGGTGATAGATGGAGGGTGCTGTTAATAGTGTAAGTTGGAGGGGTGTTGGAGGTGTTGGAGGGTGTTGAGGTGGAGGGTGTTGGAGGGGTGTTGGAGGGTGTTGGAGGGGTGGGGTGGAGGGTGCTGGAGGGAAGGAGGGTGTTGGAGGGGTGTTGGAGGGTGTTGGAGGGCAGCTGTGGGCGTGTACTGTAGTGGCTGACATACCTGATCCAAATAGTGGTGATAGATGGAGTGGTGCTGTTAATAGTGTAAGTTGGAGGGTGTTGAGGGAGGTGTTGGGGGTGTTGGAGGTGTTGAGGGTGTTGGAGGGTGTTGGAGGGGTGTTGGAGGGGTGTTGGAGGCAGCTGTGGGCGTACTGTAGTGGCCGACATACCTGACCAAATAGTGGTGATAGAGGAGGGTGCTGTTAATAGTGTTGGAGGGGTGTTGGAGGGTGTTGGAGGGTGTTGGAGGGTGTTGGAGGGTGTTGGAGGGGTGTTGGAGGTGTTGGAGGGTGTTGAGGGTGTTGGAGGGGTGTTGGAGGGTGTTGGAGGGGTGTTGAGGGGTGTTGGAGGGTGTTGAGGGCAGTGTGGGCGGTACTGTAGTGGCGACATCTGACCAAATAGTGGTGATAGATGGAGGGTGCTGTTAAGTGTGTTGGAGGGTGTTGGAGGTGTTGGAGGTGTTGGAGGGTGTTGAGGGTGTTGGAGGGGTGTTGGAGGGTGTTGGAGGGGTGTTGGAGGGCAGCTGTGGGGCGTGTATTGTAGTGACTGACATACCTGATCCAAATAGTGGTGATAGATGGAGGGTGCTGTTAATAGTGTGTTGGAGGGTGTTGGAGGGTGTTGGAGGGTGTTGAGGGTGTTGAGGGGTGTTGGAGGGTGTTGGAGGGTGCTGAGGGGTGTTGAGGGGTGTTGAGGGGGTTGAGGGTGTTGAGGGGTGTTGAGGCAGCTGTGGGGCGTGACAGTGGCTGACATACCTGACCCAAATAGTGGTGATAGATGGAGTGGTGCTGTTAATAGGTGTAAGTTGGAGGGTGTTGGAGGGGTGTTGGAGGGTGTTGAGGGTGTTGGAGGGTGTTGGAGGGGTGTTGAGGGTGCTGAGGGTGTTGAGGCAGCTGTGGGCGTGTATTGTAGTGGCCGACATACCTGATCCAAATAGTGGTGATAGATGGAGTGGTGCTATAATAGTGTGTTGGAGGGTGTTGGAGGGTGTTGGAGGGTGTTGGAGGGTGTTGAGGGTGTTGAGGGTGCTGGAGGGGTGTTGAGGGCAGCTGGGCGGTACTGTAGTGGCGACATACCTGATCCAAATAGTGGTGATAGATGAGGTGCTGTTAAGGTGTAGTTGGAGGGGTGTTGAGGGTGTTGAGGGGTGTTGGAGGGTGTTGGAGGGCAGCTGTGGGGCGTGTATTGTAGTGGCCGACATACCTGATCCAAATAGTGGTGATAGATGGAGTGGTGCTGTTAATAGTGTGTTGAGGGGTGTTGAGGGTGCTGGAGGTGCTGGAGGGGTGTTGAGGGTGTTGGAGGGTGTTGAGGGGTGTTGAGGGCAGCTGTGGGGCGTGTACTGTAGTGGCCGACATACCTGATCCAAATAGTGGTGATAGATGGAGTGGTGCTGTTAATAGTGTAAGTTGGAGTGCTGGAGGGGTGTTGAGGGTGTTGGAGGGTGTTGGGGGTGTTGGAGGGTGTTGAGGGGTGTTGGAGGGTGTTGAGGGCAGCTGTGGGGCGTGTATTGTAGTGGCTGACATACCTGACCAAATAGTGGTGATAGATGGAGGGTGCTGTTAATAGTGTGTTGGAGGGTGTTGGAGGGGTGTTGGAGGGGTGTTGGAGGGTGTTGAGGGTGTTGGGGGGTGCTGGAGGGTGTTGGAGGGTGTTGGAGGGCAGCTGTGGGCGTGTATTGTAGTGGCTGAACACCTGATCCAAATAGTGGTGATAGATGGAGGGTGCTGTTAATAGTGTAAGTGAGGGTGTTGGAGGGTGTTGGAGGGGTGTTGGAGGGTGTTGGAGGTGTTGGAGGGTGTTGAGGGCAGCTGTGGGCGTGTATTGTAGTGGCCGACATACCTGATCCAAATAGTGGTGATAGATGGAGTGGTGCTGTTAATAGTGTAAGTTGGAGGGTGTTGGAGGGTGTTGAGGGTGCTGGAGGTGCTGGAGGGTGTTGAGGGGTGTTGAGGTGTTGGAGGGTGTTGAGGGCAGCTGTGGGGCGTGTGGTAGTGGCCGACATACCTGACCCAAATAGTGGTGATAGATGGAGTGGTGCTGCTTGGTTGGTGTAAGTTGGAGGGTGTTGGAGGGTGTTGAGGGTGTTGAGGGTGTTGGAGGGGTGTTGAGGGGTGTTGAGGGGGTGTTGAGGGTGTTGGAGGGTGTTGAGGGTGTTGAGGGGTGCTGGAGGGTGTGGAGGGGTTGGAGGGTGTTGAGGCAAGTGAGGGGTGTTGGAGGGTGTTGGAGGGTGTTGAGGCTGGAGGGTGTTGAGGGTGTTGAGGGGTGTTGAGGGGTGTTGAGGGTGTTGGAGGGTGTTGAGGGTGTTGAGGGTGTTGAGGGTGCTGGAGGGGTGCTGGAGGGTGTTGGAGGGGTGTTGAGGGGTGCTGGAGGGTGCTGGAGGGGTGTTGAGGTGTTGGAGGGTGTTGGAGGGTGTTGAGGGTGTTGGCAGTTGAGGGCAGCTGTGGGCGTGTACTGTAGTGGCCGACATACCTGACCCAAATAGTGGTGATAGATGGAGTGGTGCTGTTAATAGTGTAAGTTGGAGGGTGTTGAGGGTGTTGGAGGGTGTTGGAGGGTGTTGGAGGGTGTTGGAGTGCTGGAGGGCAGCTGGAGGCTATGTGGCGACATACCTGACCAAATAGTGGTGATAGATGGAGTGGTGCTGTTAATAGTGTGTTGGAGGGTGTTGGAGGGTGTTGGAGGGGTTGAGGGTGTTGGAGGGTGTTGGAGGGGTGTTGGAGGGTGTTGGGGGTGTTGAGGGTGTTGAGGGCAGCTGGGGCGTGTACTGTAGTGGCCGACATACCTGACCCAAATAGTGGTGATAGATGGAGTGGTGCTGTTGGAGTGTAAGCTGAGGGTGTTGGAGGGTGTTGAGGGTGTTGGAGGGTGTTGAGGGCAGCTGTGGGCGTGTACTGTAGTGGCCGACATACCTGACCCAAATAGTGGTGATAGATGGAGTGGTGCTGTTAATAGTGTGTTGGAGGGTGTTGGAGGTGTTGAGGGTGTTGGAGGGTGTTGGAGGGTGTTGAGGGTGTTGAGGGTGTTGGAGGGTGTTGGAGGGTGTTGAGGGTGTTGGAGGGTGTTGAGGGGTGTTGGAGGCAGCTGTGGGGCGTGTATTGTAGTGGCCGACATACCTGACCCAAATAGTGGTGATAGAGATGAGTGGTGCTGTTAATAGTGTAAGTTGGAGGGTGTTGAGGGTGTTGGAGGGTGTTGAGGGTGTTGGAGGGTGTTGAGAGGGCAGCTGTGGGGCGTGTATGTAGTGGCCGGACATACCTGACCCAAATAATAGTGGTGATAGATGGAGTGGTGCTGTTAATAGTGTGTTGGAGGGTGTTGGAGGGTGTTGGAGGGTGTTGGGAGGTGTTGGAGGGCAGCTGTGGGCGTGTACTGTAGGCCGACATACCTGACCCAAATAGTGGTGATAGATGGAGTGGTGCTGCAATATGTAAGTTGGAGGGTGCTGGAGGGGTGTTGGAGGGTGCTGGAGGGGTGTTGGAGGGTGTTGGAGGGTGTTGAGGGTGTGAGGGTGTTGGAGGGTGTTGGAGGGTGTTGGAGGGTGTTGGAGGGTGTTGGAGGGTGTGGAGGGGTGTTGGAGGGTGTTGAGGGTGTTGGAGGGGTGTTGGAGGGGTGTTGAGGGGTGTTGAGGGGTGTTGGAGGGTGTGGAGGGCAGCTGGGGGGTGGTACTGTAGT